CTGTTGTCCCCCCCCGCTGCCCCCAATGCTGCCCCCCAGGCGCAGACCCGCAGCGTGAGGAGCAGCTGATGGAGGACTGGTTCTCCCTGGTCAACGCCCGCAACGCCCTGCTGCGCCGCCACGACCGCCTGCAGCTGCTGTGCGTCACCGTCTGGTGGTTGTGTCACCGTGTGGTGGTTGTGTCACCATGTGGTGGTTGTGTCACCGTGTGTGATTGTGTGGTGGTTGTGTCACCGTGTGTGGTTGTGTCACCGTGTGGTGGTTGTGTGATGGTTGTGTCACCGTGTGTGTGATGGATGGTTGTGTCACCGTGTGTGTGGTTGTGTCACCGTGTGTGTGATGGATGGTTGTGTCACTGTGTGTGTGGTGGTTGTGTGGTGTGTGTGATGGATGGTTGTGTCACCGTGTGTGATTGTGTGGTGGTTGTGTCACCTTGTGGTGGTTGTGTCACCGTGTGTGTGATGGATGGTTGTGTCACTGTGTGTGGTGGTTGTGTGGTGTGTGTGATGGATGGTTGTGTCACCATGTGTGTGGTTGTGTCACCATGTGGTGGTTGTGTGGTGGTTGTGTCACCGTGTGTGTGGTGGTTGTGTCACTGTGTGTGTGGTGGATGGTTGTGTCACCGTGTGTGTGGTGGTTGTGTCACCGTGTGATGGTTGTGTCACCGTGTGTGATGGGTGGTTGTGTCACTGTGTGTGATTGTGTGATGGTTGTGTCACTGTGTGTGATTGTGTGATTGGTTGTGTCACCGTGTGTGTGGTTGTGTCACCATGTGTGTGATAGATGGTTGTGTCACCGTGTGATGGTTGTGTGGTGGTTGTGTCACCGTGCGTGTGGTGGATGGTTGTGTCACTGTGTGTGATGTGTCCTCCTGTCCCATTGTCCCCTTGTCCCCATATCCTCATGTCTCCCTGTCCCCATATTCCTATTCCCCATCCCCCTGTCCCAGTGTCCCCATATCCCCGTCCCCATGTCCCTATATCCCCCTGTCCCCATATCCCCCTGCTCCCCTGTCTCCATGTCCCCATGTCCCCCTGTCCCAGTGTCCCCCTGTCCCCATATTCCCATGTCCCCATGTCCCCCTGTCCCAGTGTCCTCCTGTCCCCCTGACGTCCCCCCGTCTGTCCCAGGGAGGAGGAGCAGGACGTGGAGCGGCGCTTTGAGCTGCTGAGCCGGGAGCTGCGGGCGATGCTGAGCACGGAGGGTGCGGCCGGGACCCCCCCCCAATAGAGACCCCCCCCAATAAAGACCCGCGCCAATAGAGGGACCCCCCCCAATAGAGAGACCCTCCTCCATTTTGGGAACCCCTCCCAGTTTTGGGGACCCCCACCCCCAATTTTTTCCCCCCTTTCCGCTCCCTTTGGGGGAACCTTTTCCCTTCGGGTATCCCATCATGTTGACAACCCACCCCTCAAATTTTGGGGACCCCCCTCAAATTTGGGCGCCCCCCACCCCAAATTCTGGAATCCCCTCCCAGTTTGGGACCCCCCCCAATTGTGAAGACCCCCCCCAAAAAGCTTTCCCCCTTTTCCATTCCCTTGGGGTAAACCTCTTCCCCTTGGGTACCCCAATGTGCCCAGTCCATCACGTTTAGGGCCCCCCCTTCAAATTTAGCGACCCCCCCTCAAATTCTGGGGACCCCCCCTCAAATTTTGCGGTCCCTCTCCTTTGAGGACCCCTCCTAATCTTGGGGACCCCCCCAAACCTTTCCCCCCTTTCCATTCCCTTGGGGTAAACCTCTTCCCCTTGTGTACCCCAATGTGCCCAGTCCATCATGTTTAGGGCCCCCCTTTCAAATTTAGCGACCCCCCCTCAAATTCTGGGGACCCCCCCTCAAATTTTGGGGTTCCCTCCCCCCGCAGAGTGGGAGAAGTCGGCGGCGCAGCGGCAGCGGGAGGAGCTGTTACTGGAGGAACTGGTGGCACTGGTGAACCGCCGCGACGAGCTGCTGCGGCACCTGGATGCGAGCGAGCAGGCGTGAGTGGGGGTCCACAAATT